GCGATTGAAAGTGCAGACTTGAGTGTAAATAGTTACCATCAGCCGCGGTTTCCTTCACTCATTAAGCTTGCGCTTAATCCATGCACTGCAACGCGGCCCATGACAATGATCCAACATCCAAAGATATACATTACCCTCTTTTAGCATAGTTGCATTTTTCGTCTTCTATCCATTTATATCATAGCCCGTTATCATTAATACGACAATAAAAGCTCAATATACTGAACAAGCTTACGATTCACATACGAAATCTAATCAACTTAATACTTTTATTGACTCGGTACTCGGTACTCGGTACCTCGGTACCTGGTACTCGGTTCCAAACTCTGATTCAAAAGGTACCGACTTCGGTCCTCGGTTCTTCTTGGTACCGACCGGTACGGTACCAGCATTTTTAGGTACGGTGCCGGTTCCATTCAAGTACCGGGTACCGAGGTACCGTGCCGATCCCTAGACGAGTCTATACAAAGCCCAAAGCAATATCTCGTATCAAAGATGTGTCTATAACGTGTCGTTCTTTATTTTATGAAAAGGTCATATATATATAGATGTTGGGATAAGGTTATGAGTACAAGGGATATTAAGGAATACATGTGGAGGTACAAAACTATAATTGTTGGATCACATCAATCGATGATACGACATCATCCCCCCGGCAAGCCTGATGATCGACCACGAGCATGAGCAAGGTTAAGGTGAGATGTTTTGTTCGGCTTGGAGTTGGCGGGAGGCTGTGGCACGTGCTTGTGTTGGATGATACCAGGTTTGTGTCGGTGGTGAAGAAAAATTTACAGGTCGTAAACGATCTGCATGAACCCATGACGAATAAGGTTTGTCTTGCATGTCGACAATTTTGTAAGTGTCGCTATCGGTATGAGTGGCGATGACTTTATATGGGCCCATCCAATTGTATTCCAAGGTGTATCTACTTTCATGGCGTAAAAGTACAATCTCCCCCACAGCGTATGTTTGCGGCTTGAGATGAGCATCCCATCGTTCCTTGTCTGCTTGGCTAACCTCCAACATGCGATCGTGTGCTTGGGCGCGGGCTTGTTTGAGTGCTCGTAATGATGGTAATGCACTATCGAGTTGTTCTTGAGGATCCACCGGCAAATCACGTAACAAGGTAGGATGTAAGACATCACCAGGTAAACGTGGATCACGGCCATAAGTGAGGTAGAAAGGACTGACCCCAGTGGTTGGATGCTTTCGAATACGACATGCGCAAAGCGTTGGCTTTATATAATCATCCCAATGATAAATGTCGCCATGTGCGTATTTACGCAAAATCTGTTTGAAGACACCATTAAGACGTTCACATTTACCATTCGTGCGAGGGTGGAAAGCTGATGTGAGAAGATGATGAGTGCGAAGTCGAGCCGTGTATTGTGCTAGGAGACGTGATGTAAAGTTTGGTCCCCGATCGGTTAAAATTTCTGCAGGTACACCAAAACGCATGACAATCTCGTTGTATAATACATCCGCAATAGCTTCGGCAGTCGCATCAGGCATAGCAACGGCAATTGGCCAATTAGTCGTATAATCAACAGCTATCAATATCCACCTGTTTCCTCGTGCTGTACGTGGTAGCTCGCCTATGAAGTCCAAATGCCAACGGCTGAATGCTTCTGGAATGTTTAAAGGTCCCATAGGGGCGTGATGTACATGTTTTTCGGCACCTGAAGCTAATTGACATCGAGAGCATTGACGTATCCAAGCGCCAATATCACGTTGCATGCCCGGCCACCACCACCGTTTGCGTAAAATGTCGTATATTGTAGTCATCCCAGCATGACCACAGCTCTCATGGTATTTGTCACCAAGTCTGCACGTCGAGCAAAAAGTGCAAAGCGTACCTCTTGTGGCGTATTGGAATCCTTGGTGGGTATCAGCCGATAGATGCAATTGTCACGAACAACGAACTTATTCATGTTGTCAAGAAGCTGTTGGTGGAGATCTTGGGGCCATTCCTCTTGAGATTGTAAATAATACTTTGGCCAATCGGTTTCATGAGCTAATGCTGTTGCGTAGAGAAAATCAGGTTCCAAACTAGAAGCTGCAGGTTCCGTTTTGGGACCACCAAGACGTGATAAAGCATCAGGCACAACATTAGCATCCCCACGCTGGTATTGTATATCCGGCTGGTATAATTCAAAGTCTGATATCCACCGTATGATCCTCGAATTAGGATTTGGCTTGGAGCGTAAATACTTGAGGGGCTCATGATCAGTGAGAACCACACATTTACTTCCTTCAATGAGATAACGCCATTGGCTGATGGTAACTATTTACACTCAAGTCTGCACTTTCAATCGCGAT